CAGCAATGTTCACCAAGCCATGGCCACGGGCCCTTCCTCCCTACTGCCCGTTCTCGTTTCCCTTCCTCCCCATACCCTACCTTATTGCCTTTGTACCTCCCGTGCCCTTTTCGCCCAGCCTCCCTAACTCCTATAAAGGTTTCGGGAAAGGGTTGGCGGTCGCGTAATGATGCTTCGCTAGGCGTTAGCGGAAGTAAGCCCAGTTTAGCACGAAACACGATTTATTATCGCTAGCTTTGAACGCCGCGGGGAATTTGTATTTGTTTACCAGGTAACACGAATCACCAAAAGCAGAAACAAAGAGAGCCTATCCACAAGAAACAGAGGAAGCTGCAAATAATATATCTTGTGCAATTGATGGATTTAGAAACGCAAATAATCCAAATAAAACTAAAGCAGCTGGAGGAAAGCAATAAAAAAAAAGGCTATGTTATGGGCGAATATAATGTTTTCGAGAGAGGGGGAGAGAGAGAGAGAGAGAGAGAGAGAGAGAGAGAGAGAGAGAGAGAGAAAGCTGGAGTTGGACTCTGATTTGTCATAAATTTTCTTATCCAGTCACCAGGGTTATTCACACAGTATGTCCCTAGGTCTTGTTTTTGTTTTGTTTTTTATACATTGTGATATAAGTTTAGCTACATCAGCTGTTACTAAAGTTCCAGAGTTGTGTTGGTTCTTAGTTCAGTTTTGGATGAATTTTATAATTATATAAAACTGCCTTAATGTTATATATATATATATATATATATATATATATATATATATATATATATATATATATATATATATTCATGATCAAGTAACAAGTAATGAAGATTGATTTAACCAATTCGCGACGGGCATGTCACGTATCCGTGCCATACCCACTGTGAGTTTACTTGTTTAATTGTTTTTACATATAGATGGCTACACTTGTACTAAATCACCAGTGAGCCAGTTACGAGTACTGCCTGTCTCGCCCGTTTACCCTTTTCTTTAATTTACGAAAATATTTAACGTTATCTAGGCACTCGTATATGTACTCTTGATGAGGCAACACCTTGTTCAAAAACAGCAGCAATAAACAAGAAGTCTTGTGTCACAAGAGCTACCCTGGAGCCTGGGGCCTCTCGTGACATTATTGTTTCTGAGTTTCTTAGAGTAATTGAAATAAAGTAAACCCTGTAGTTGCAGATCCTTGCGCACTTGCTTTGACAGCACCATTTGTGCTCTTGCTCTTACAGGTGGCACGAGGCTACAGTAGGAGTAGTCAGCACCCCACCTCAGGGGGGGGGGGGGCGGCATTGAATTACCGTCCCTCGCTTAGGCAAGTTCGGCGGTAAGGAAGTGTCCCACACATAACTCGATCCTTCTGTGGTACTGGAGAACGCAGTCAGGCTTCCACTGGGGGGTGGAGGATGGGGGGTAGAGGACGAAAAACTGCCTTACTCTCTTAGCTATTGCTGTTAGGTTGATACTAAAAGTTAAGAGTTTGTAGATCCCTTCAGGACTACAATTTTGAGACAAGGGGTCGGACCTGGTCCGATATCCAGGATGGATGCTACCCCGGCTACCCCTTCTCCTCCTCAAGGAGTAGGAGTGACTCATGACCAATCTTCGACTAATTTGACTATGAACAATGGTACCCCCACTAATGACAAAACGAGACAACCGCTTTTCAAATCCCCACTCAGAATGCGAGGTTCGCGAATGTAAAATGCGTGAATGAAAATCAATTGTTTTCGAAAAGGTCCTTGATGGTCAAGTGGACGGCGATTTTGAATTTGTCAAAAAAATGCAAAATGGAAGCCTCCTTGTAAACGCATTCGCGATGGGTAAAAAAGAACAAAAAATGGGAAAATGCTGTGCTCATTTTTTATATTTTTTTTGTGAAATTTCTCTACACTAGATGGCTCTGCCTTACCTAATTTCACCTTTACTTGAATTGGCGGGAAAATGTATTTTTACTAGTGCTATGAATATCGATGGTTATTTTTATCATAAACATTATAATTATTATAAAGTTATAAACATTAGTAACAGCAAAATAAGATAACATAAAATATTTTCGTAAATTAAAGAAAAGGTTAAACAGGCGAGACAGGCAGTATCTGTAAAAACAATGAAATAAGTAAACTCACAGTGGGCATGTCACGCATATGTGACACCCGGCGCGAATGGGTTAAAGTACAATATAACTCCCAGATTAAGGATTTACTTAAGCTGACGCAAATTCATGATCTCCGAGTTAGAGTAACTATTCCTATTGGCCCAAATACCTGTAAGGGAGTAATCTTTCACAGGGATTTGAGGACAATGGAAGAAAGTGAAATTCTCGAGAGCATGAAAGACCAAGACGTAGTGGACGTTCCTTGTATGACCAAGAAGGACGGGAATGTGCGAACGAAAACTGGACTGTGTTTTTTTGACCTTTGAATAATATCCCTGAGTATGTCAATATCGGTTATGAACTTATGTCCAAAAGCCAATGCATTGTAATAGATGCCAAAAATTCGGACACATCTCATTAAGAAGTATTGATAAAGACTCAGTTTGTATGCCATAAATGTGCTGAAGCCCATGACACCATCACATGTACCACATTTCCAAATGTGCTAACTGTGGAGGTCCCCATCAATCAGGATCTGCTGAGTGCAGCATCCTGAAGAAGGAGACTGAGACATTAGCATATATGAGAAAGTATGAAGTTAGTTATACTGAAGCTAAGAGGAAAGTGGAAAGTTTGACACACAAACCAGATACTTCCTATGCTGCAGCAGTAACTAACATCAGCCCTAGTACAAGTAATGTTAGTCAACAGCTTGCTGCTAAAGATAAAGAAATTGCTGAAATAAAACAAACCATTAAAGAAAGTAATATTCAAGTCTATCAACTGACTAAATTGGTCGATCAAATGGCTGCATCAACCCAGCACAGACATCCTAAGGAGGATGATACCGAATCACAGTCTGGAGCGCATCTCCGGACTGTAGTCCCCATCCGGACTACTCCTGTGAGGACTTCGCCTGGCTCGTGATCGGTTTCTCGAGAGAGAAGCAGATCGCAATCTGTCAGTTGTCTCCCTCGCCAGGAGGTGCAGGATGTGGAGGCTTCTGTCTCCAAACCATCCCGAGATAGGTCCACGGGAAACGAGGGAGAGGAGGCCCCTCCCTCCCATAAAAAAAAAAATAAAACTAGTGAACAAGGCACTTCCAAACCCAATAAAATGTAATTTTCGCATCAAACATTATACATTGGAACTGTCGAAGTCTTAGATCTAAAGTAAATGAACTTAAAATATTAGCATCGTCCTATGCTCCCAATATTATACTTCTCCAAGAAACACATTTAACACACCTCGTCTCTGACGAGGTCGTTTCGCTGAGGAACTACCATTTATGTAGGAAGGTTCATGAGGGTAGGAGTGGAGGTGGAGTCGCCATGTACATCCACTAAAACCTCCCTTTTACTGAAGTGACCATACTTTGGAGTTTGTCGCATGCAAAGTAAAAATTAATGGCACGTTCTGGCAATTTGTTCAGTTTATTGTCCACCTGATAATGTGATAATCTATGATGAGCTCTTTGCTCTTCAGGAAGGGCTGCCACATAGTAAAGTAATTTTAGGTGATTTTAATGCTCATCATATGTTATGGGGTTCCCTGCGGGTGGATGGTAGAGGTGAGCAAGTAGTTGACTAATTAGTCTGATTTAGTCCTTATGAATGATGGTAGCCCGACGCAAATGGTAATTTACTTATCACTGGTCTCTTCATCAATAGTAGCCAAGTGCCTGTGGCACACCATTGACGACTTGTTGGATCATCTTCCTATTTTGATTGAATATTCATGCGACACGGTGTGAACGCCTTCAGCATCTAAATTTAACGTAAAAAGAGCGTCAAGCTCGAACTTGTTGGAGAAACTGTTGATGATAAAGTAAACAATATTCAAAATTCGATTTAGGAAGCAGCATTGCAATCCATTCCTAAAACCTCGATAGATAGCATTAAGCATAAAGTTCCATGATTGCCGCAAGGCGCTGTGCCGACGCAATAAGGCCTACAGGCTCTTCAAAAATAACAATAAATAAATGAGAACTTTTGTAATTACAAACAAGCAAGAGCTAGGGCTCGTAGAGTAATAAGACAAGCAAAAAGAGACTCCTGGCGGAGCTTTGTCTCTACAATTAACAGCAATACAAAAATATCAGAGGTTTGGTCCATTGTCATAAAATCAATAAGAAAAAAAAACATCTTCCAAAATTAACATAATTCACGAGGGTAAAAATTTAGATTTCCCTAGAGACATTGCTAATGCACTCGCCAGGCAGTTCTCTCATACAAGAATCTCTGCAAATTACCATCCCGCCTTCCTGACCGTCAAGGAAGCGGCTGAGCTACAACCTATTCACTTTGCCACAGGAGATGACTTTGATTACATTAAAGATCTAACAATGGATGAGCTTGTCCGAGCACTAGAAGGCTGTAGAGGAACATCCCCAGGACCCGATGGGATTTGATATGAGATGATAAAGCATCTTAATTATGATGACATGATTCAGTTGCTAGAAGTGTACAATGAAATTTGATTTGCCATCTCCTACCGCCCAATTATGTTGACAAGTTGCTTATGCAAGGTCATGGAACGAATTGTTAACAGTGGGTGGACTAATTGCATCGAAAGTCTATATACAGATGATAGCAGGAAAGAACGGCCAGTAATAAGAAAGCCCATGTAGGGGGAAAACAATAACATCAAAAGAAATCAAAGAGGCTATGAATCAAATGAAAAATGGAAAAACCACGGGAAATGATAACATCGCGTTTGAACTAGTTAATGCTTTATATGATTTTGGAATAGAAAAAATTACAGAAATTACAAATAATGTGTATGACTCTGAGAATGTTCCTGAATAAATGCTGGAATCAATATTCATAGCTCTACTTAAACAATCTGGACAACTGATTGCAAACAACACAGAACTATAAGCTTGATGAGCCATATAACAAAGATAATTCTAAGAATGGAATTGAATTGGATAAAAGGCACTATCAGGGAAAATATATCAGATAAAGTTTGGCTATAGACCAGGAAAAGGAACAAGATTTTCTGCTTAAAGACAATAATGGAAAAGTACATAGAGAAACAAAAAGACTTTATACATTGACTATGTGAAGGCGTTTGATTGTGTAAAGCATGAAGAGCTGATCGGGATATTGGAAGAACTGGAAATTGATGGAAAAGGTCTAAGGTTGATTAGGAACTTAGAGTGGAATCAAAAATCTGTCATTAGATTGAATGGCGTCCAACAAGGTTGTATTTTAATCTAATGATTTATTCAACATTTATAGTGAGAAAGCTCTTAACAAGATCAAGATATGTGAAGAGTTAAAACTAGGGGCAAGAAATTACAACAACTTGAGATATGCAGATGATATAACTTTGATGGCAGACTCTGAAAAGAAACTTCAGGAACTGGTTAACATTGTGTCAGTAGAAAGTGAAAAGCTGGTCTGTCAATGAATTGTCAGAAAACCTTTTCCATGGTCTGTACTAAAAAGAAACAGGCATCAACATGTCACTTGAGAGTGAATGGAAACAGCATAAAACAGACAGTTCTAAATATCTTGGAAGTTGGATTTCATCAGATGGACGATCATACAAAGATATTCAGTACAGGAGTCCCGGACCATAAGCAGAGCGATGGAAAAGAAATTAGAAGCTGTGGAAATGTGGTTATATAGAAGAACATTGAAGATCTTGTGGGAAAAAAAGATAATGAATGATGAAGTTTTACAGAAAGTAAAAACAGAAAGGTAATTGTTGAACACCATAAAAGAAAAACAATGGAGATTTGTTGGATATATTCTGTGAGAGGAAGATGGAATTGAAAAACACATCATCGAGACAGAAATTAATGGAAATAGGGCAAGAGGAAGGCAAAGGATGAAGATGCTTGACTTGATGAAGGAAAGGCTGAAAGTGAGGACGAATGTAGAACTCAGAGATATTGCGAGGGACAGAGAGAAATGGAAAAAAGATTGGACAGGGACTGAGAGACAATTCATGAACGCCTACGGCATGACATGCTATGGTATTTGAAGAAGAGGCTATTGCATTTTTTAATTCCAGTAATTTGCTAGTTGACAAGCAGTACGGCTTCTGAAAGTAAATCTGGACAGTCATATTCAAGAGGCAATTGCCAAAAAAGATTATTTGATTTCGGTATTTTTAGATATAGAAAAAGCCTGCGACATGACATGGCGATATGGCCTACTCAAAAATTTCATTCAAAATTTCATTTCTGACATAACTTTTTCTGTCAAATTGTTTTCTGACACTGTCACTTTTTCAGACATTTTTGTCAAGGCAAACGGGGTCCCACAAGGGAGTGTCTTGTCACCAACATTATTTCTACGTATGATCAATGACATCTTACCAGCTCCTCCTCGGAATCATAAATACTCACTGTACGCTGATGATTGTGCATTATGACATTCCAGCAATAATGCAGAATTCTCGGCAAATTGCATCCAACTGGCACTGGATATGATTCATAACTGGGGCCTCCATTGGGGTTTTAAGTTTTCCACGAGAAAGAGTATTGGGTTTATTTTTTCACACATGAGGAAGCCGAACATCAGGCTAACTCTAGACAACCACCCAATACCTATTCAAAATTCTGCTAAACATCTTGGTTTACTTTTTGATAGTAGACTCAATTGGAAAGACCATATTGGTCAGTTAAAGAATAAATGTCAAAGAGTACAAAATTTATTTAAGGGCATTTCTGGTAACAAATGGAGAGCTGGTAGATAGTCTTTGCTAATGATATATAAAGCCTTCTTTAGGTCTAAAGTAGGTTGTTGGAGCCCTAAAATGCACTCAGATCGAGCGTCTTGAGGTGGAGTCAGGAGTACCCCCCTCCGACTCAGACGTGGCCAGTTGGCACTGACCTATGACGCAAAGGTGGCTCGAGAACCAAGCCACCCTAATGGCAATGGAGGCACTAGGCCCTTTGCCACGTGACTCCACGACCTCGTCGAGACGGTATAGATATCTTTACCATCGATACCCTAGTTCATTCAAATACAGCGCCATGGGAAACCCCCAACTTTTCTATTATGTAAGCTTGGCCTCCATCAGCCAAGGCCATGGCGCCGGAGGTGGAGGTATGCCAGAGGTCCAGAGAGATCCTTATTAAACATCTAAATTTTTTTCATATACACACCGACGGCTCCAAGACAGATGAGTGTTTGGGTGTGGGTGCATGGTCGACTGAATTTGAACTAAAGTTCAGACTGCCGAATCATGCATCGATTTTTCCTGCTGAACTTTTTGCCACTGATAAAGCCATAGATTCATGGCAATGAACAGGCTGACAAACTAGACGGGTCAACTGGCGATCTGGATACTAACATAGATCGTACGGATCTCGGGTGTTTTGTGTTTCTTATAAAAGCAAAAATACATCTCCTAAGTGAGTGGACCAACCTACAAATAAACAATAAAATCAAACCAACAATCGAACTGTGGGACACAGCCCACAGGAAGGAAAGAAGGGAGGAGGTGGTGTTGGCCCGCTTTAGGATCAACGCCTCAAGATTTACCCACCTCACTCCCTACATTTAAAAAAATACCCTCCACGATGCCGGTTTTTAACACCAGCATAACAATAAATCACATAATAATAGTATGCCAAAAATATGCAAACCACAGACAACTACTCAGGAATTATTTTAGAATAAAAAAAATAGAAAATACATAATTAAAATAATAAGTAAAGTATTATCTTTTCCAAGAGAGACAAAACTTTATGACCTAATATAGATTGATAGAATGAATAGGATCCATTGGCTTAATAACCTTGGCCATATACCGCAGGTTGATAGCCAAGAAATCAAAGAAAGAAAGAAAGAAAACGTTATCTTATTTTGCTATTACTAATGGTTATAACATTATAGTAATTATAATGTTTGTGATAAAACAGCATCGACATTCATAGCACTAGTAAAAAATACATTTTCCCGCCAATTCAAGGAAAGGTGAAATTAGGAAAGACAGAGCCATCTATGTGTAGAGACATTTCACAAAAAAATATAAAAAATGAGCCCAGCATTTTCCCCATTTTGTATTCATTTCCCAGGGCGGCAATAGGTTATAATTTATTGCATATTTATGAATGCATTTATGTATATGTCCTGATATCAACTGCAATATGAATTCCTTTATACTTTAGATTCCTAAATATATTATAGCTATCGTAATACAAACAAGAGTTAAATGCTGTTATAATATAACCAGCCAATTTATTATTGATGTCCAAAAACATAACTCAATGATATTATGAGGCATACAGAAACATGTCTGAATCACACAACACACATAAATAGATATATAAATATATGTACATGAGTGTATAGATGTATCTTTATCCATCTAACACACACACACACATACACACTATATATAAAGGGTAGAAAAAAACCCACTATATATATATATATATATATATATATATATATATATATATATATAAATATATATATATATATATATATATAAATATATATATATATATATATATATATATATAATATAATATATATATATTATATATATATATATATATATATATATATATATATATAATATATTTATTATATATGTATGTGTGTGTATATAAATTTATGTATATATATATATATTTATATATATGTATATATATATATATATATATATATATATATATATATATATATTTATGCTTATATATATATATATATATATATATATATATATATATATATATATATATATATATATATATATATTCTCCCTGCAGCATGAAGATCCAGACAGTTGAGTTCATCTACAGCAACTGCTATTTCTGAAACAAAGTATCTCTTTAGATGTTTTATTTCATAAATTCACGTCTAATGTAAGTATTCCCGAACTACTGGAATCTGCCATCAAAGTTATAGATAGGCTAGAATACTTAGAAAAGGCAGAATATATATTTTGGAAAATACTGGGTATGTATTATAAATATTCAAATTAGGACAACAGATAACAATTCTGTTGATCCCCTAAAACCTATCGCGAGAGTACTGCGTTGTCAAGCGATCGCCAAGGCCTCTTATTACAAACAGTTTATTATGCCAATGCATGTATTCTGACAAGACAGAGCTTTCCTGACTCTCTGGCAATGTATCATAATATTTATAACTAGTCCATTAAGAAGTTTGTTGGCCTTTGCTGGAGCGGGGAGCGCGGAATCGAGTTTGCCAAGTTTCATCGCACCTGTATAAGCAAATGCTTCAAACAGTGGTATATTTATAAAATGTATAAATCATATGCGACTAAAAAATAAGATAATCATACTGCATCCTATTTACCTTTACTGAAAAATAATAAAACTGGACCAATTAAGCAGTTAACAACGCCAGGCGAAAGGTGAGGGGTCTCAGTACGGGATCGACTGGTCGGGAATTGCCTACCCCTTAAATCTTTCCTGGGGACTTCCATATAAATCTTTTATGCTTGCTAAAAGAAGGCATGTAAAGGTGCAAAGACCAATTAGGTAGCTATATACACCAGCTTACTTTAATTATCTGCTCCATTTACAGTGTATTACAGGGTTTGTCCGCCATCTGGAATTCCTCGAAAACCTGGAATTCCAGCATTTTCATTTTCCAGGTCTGGAAAAAAAAACAAGAAATCCTGGAAAAGTCATGGAAATTTACATTGGATGACTCAACATTTTTCAACGCATTTTACATGATGTTGTGTGTAATGATACAAAATGCAAATAATCGTTGTTTCATGTTACACACTAAGTACCGGAGATTTGATTTTACTGTTTTGTCACAAACTTCGTGGACCGGGGTCACGTCAAATCATCGTCAAATAAAAGTCATTTAACTATCTATTATCTTATTATTAGCAAATTCAAAATTGTGCATTTTATAACATGACCACTGTTGTATTTCGAAAAAAAACCTATAATACGACATTGAATTCTACCTCATTTGTGGTCTTCATACGCTGAGAAAGGACATGATGCAAGCTGCAAGTAGGTTGAATGATGATACTCTTCTCAGCTATGGAGATATCTTATATAATTTATATAATTAAGCTCGAGTTGTTTCTTCAGTTACAAGGTAGGTGTCGTGTTTATTAAGCGCTCTCGGAACACAAACGTTTACCTTAAGATGTGAGGTTGTGATCCGATAACTACCCTTAAGGAACAGCATCTTCCAGCAGTGAGATTAATAGTTTGCCACAGCTATTATATACAGTGGTTTGTAGGATGATTATTGTTAAAGTTGGTGTCACCCATTTTCACCTTTTATTGTATACCTCTAAAAAAAACTGGGTGTCATATCTGATTCAAATAGGGGGAAGGACCCTGTAATAGCACTTCCTTTGTGCAGATTAGCTAGCCTAATTGCATTGCATTATTTCAATAAGTCAAACTAAAGAAATTTGATCCAGTCTTTTTTTTCAAATCAGTGGAGCTAATTTCCCCGACACTTTCCAGAGTCAGAATCAACAAAGTATTGGTATTCCAGGTGAAGGGAAAGAAATGTCTCATGGAACCAAGTAGGGGATCGCCTTTCAAAGAGTCGGGCGTTACCTGCCTCTTCTGTTTATATCACGTGTGTGTGTGTGTGTGTGTGTGCGCGCGCGTGTGTGTTGTGTGTATGTGTGTGTGTGTGTGTGTGTGTGTGTGTGTGTGTGT